ATGGCTTAATATCCTAACATTATGACCACGTACGGTAAGTAATTGAGCGTCTATAAGCTGCGGGACTACAGCTTAAACTTAAGAAGTATAAGTTTAACGTCTAACGTACGAAATACTTAGGATTTATTCTTAAAGTAGGGAAGAGCGTCTTAATAGACACGGAGAAGACAAGAGCTATTTAAGAATAGGAAGCTCTAGCTACCGTACGAGGCGTGAGAGAGTTTCTTAGGTTCGCTAATTTCTACCGTAGATTTATCTCTAACTTCTTAAGACTAGTAGAACCTCTTATACAGTTAATAAGAAAAGACGCTAAATTCGAATGGGGCTGAGACCAAGAGCTGAGCTTTGCCGCCCTTAAGGAAGCTTTTCTCTCTAATGAAGTGTTAGCTGCCTTCGACCTAGACAGGCGGATAGTAGTAGAGTGTGACTTATCTAGACGAGTAATAGGTGCTGTACTTCTGTAAGATGACGATAAAGGTACTCTACGTACGATAGCTTACTTCTCCCGAAAGCTACTAGTTTATGAAGCGAACTACCTAATCCACGACAAAGAGCTACTAGCGGTGATCTACTACTTAAAAGAGTAGAACGCTAAACTATAAGGTGTACGAGAATTCGAAGTAGTTATAGACTATAAGAACCTAGAATACTTTACCTATAAGTAAAAGCTCTCTAAATACTACGTACGATGGAACTTAGAACTAGCCCGCTTCCTAAATATAAAACTCCGCTACCGCCCTGGCAAGAAGGACGTACGGGCGGACGCCTTATCTAGGCGAGACCAAGATATGCAGAAGGACGACCTAGACAAGCATTTAGCATTAAGAGAATTTATTATGCTAGTGCTAGCTCAGACCTAGGAAAGTATTGCGGTTATGCCTGTACGAGACACTACCAACACTTAAGAAGATATCTCTCCCCTAGTGTTAACTACACTACCGCGACTACTACATTTTCCTACGCTCGTATAAGATTATTGGGATAGCGCCGCACAAGAAGATTCTCTATACTAAGAAATAAGAGCGGCTGTGTGGGAAGGAAAACGATCTCTCTCTAGCTCTCGTAAGATTACTATCTCTTTAGGCGACTGTATAATTAACGCTAAAGATAAGTTATACTAGCGTAATAGAGTATAAGTACCTAAATGTGAACTACTTTAGACAGGAGTAATCTAAACTACGTATCTATCTCTGCTAACAGGATACTCTAGACGAGAGGAAATATACAGAATTATCGTAAGAGAATGGTATTAGCTAAACATAAGCACTAATATACGCCGTTACGTACGGAATTGCGAGCTATACCGGAAAAGCACCCCCTAGAGGGACGGGAAATATAGGTACTTGAAACTATTACCCGTTCTTAGTCGTACGTGGTAATATCTAACAGTCGACTTTATCACGGGTTTACCTAGCTCTTAAGGGAAAACTAATCTTATAGTAGTGAAGGACAGACTAGGTAAAGACATCGTGCTAATCTCTATAGACAAGATCAAGATAATAGACGTCGCTTGGGTCTTTGTACGGGAAGTCTACCAGCATTATAGCCTTCTATAGTCTATTACGTCCGACCGCAGTCCCTAATTCGCTAGCTCTCTTTAGAAACAGGTCTGCTAGCTACTTAGTATCTAGAGAAATCTCTTAACAGCTTATTACCTATAGACGGACGGAATAATAGAGCGCGCTAATAGCGATATAGAAGTAGTCGTATGGATCTTCTATAACTACGATCAAGATAACTAGGTATAACTCTACCCTCTTTTAGAACTTATACTTAACTCCCGTACGAATATAATAATAGGAGTTTTACCTTTCTTTCTATACTATAGTTACTATAACACTCCTTTCCCCTAGCTCTAAACGGTTACGTAAGCTGACGAAGTAGGAGAAGCTGTAAAGGAGATTATCTGGATGATTAGTAATACTGCTAACTAGGCTATATCTACCATAACCTACGCCTAATAAGAATAAGAATAATAAGCTAATAAGTCCCGCAGACTAGCGCCTACCTACCGCGTAGGAGACTGGGTATAGCTAGACTTACGCGATGTACGTACGGCTAGAAGTAGTAAGAAACTTAATTAGAAAAGCGCTAAGTTCCAGGTTACTCGCGTACGAGACCCTTACTAGGTAGAATTAGTAGTACTATGAGAAATAAAGACTTACTATATAGATAAGCTCCGTCTGGCGGCTAACGACCTATTCCTATCGCAGTAGATAGATAATACTAACCTAACTACTACAGTCGTATAAGATAATGAAAATAATAAGGAACACTTAGAGTGGATAGTACGAGATATTACAGATAAGAGAATAAGGCGCAGGCAAATAGAATACCTTGTTTATTGGGTGGGCTACGACGAGCCTATATAGGAGCCCGCCGCCTATCTCGCTAACACTACGGCCCTACAGTTATAGTTATCCCACACCTAACCTAGACAACAACCTAACGGATGACTTAGAAGAAACTGGCGAAGGTAGGCCTATCTACTCCACGAGTAGGGGGTTCTCGGCACCACCCGCAGCCGGACGACCACGCTGGTTGCCACTACTAGGACTATTAGAGAGCCTCTTGCGCCCACCTCCCATACGAGAGACTGCCTACTAAGTAATACTGTAACGAGCTCTATAGTCTTACCAGACGCAGTTAGAGTAGGCTCTACCCTACTTACTAGCGATGGATACGCAGCCAGCGAATGCGGTAAACTTCTTCTCGCCTCGCAGAACAGCGGCGCAATTATTCGTACAAAAAGCCGCGTTAAGAGCGCTGCGGCTATACATAACAAAGGCCTTGAGGTAGAACGGACGGCTAGTAAGAATCTGCCAAGTAGTAATAGTCGTACGTGCGATTATAGGCGAGTAGTCGCGAGGGCTCGGACTAAAGACAGCATCGTACGGACTGTTACCGCGAGGGCGATAGAAGTAGTTAAAAATACAGCGAATATCCTTCTACGTAAGTTAACACTAGCTGTATAAGAAGTTAGAAAAGTATTACGTATAGAGGCAACCGCATAAACACGGCGTAGCTTATCTACAACGCGCTAATCGAAGATAAACTAGACACGATACTTATTTAGGTTAACAGCGCCTAGCATATTAAAAGTTGGCAGTACAGCGCCTAGCGTCGTACAAGTTAGAGCCTAGTAGGCAGCGTTGAAGATTTAGTTAGCCACGTTATTAATAGTATTATTAGAGCCACCGTTAGTGTAAAACTGCAAACTATTAGTATTTACGTTAGCCCAAACACCGTAAGGGGGTAGTTACGCTTTCGGCGGCATCGTATAAGTGTAGTTAGAAAGAAAAGAAGAAATCTATATAGTAGTAGAGTTAAATTGATTTAATATAAAGGAAGAAAAAGCTAAAAGAGAGAGACGGCAGCTCTACATATCGTACGGAGGGAGCGTTTGCTCTCATAGAAATCCTCCTTTACTAGAGCAAACAAACGCCGCTGCTCCACCGCAAGTTAGGCAGCTGCGTGCTCCTAGGAAAACAAATAAACGCAAACATGTCCGTACGAGTAGAGGAGGGGAGTATTATAAAGGGCTACGCCCGTAATCTCTACTAAAGAGGATCACGTAATCTTCAACCACGTGATATACCTTCTATACGGACACGTAATCAGAAGCGAGCAGGTATAAGAGAAGTCTGTACTTAGTTATCTTCTCTTTTTCTTATCTTTTAGCTTCTGTACGATAGGTAGAAGCATACTCATTCGCTAGGCCTCTCCGCCCATAACAGTTATATCCCTATTAATAGCTCTTCTAGTCCTAGTAGAAAGCTTTAAAACCCGGCCTCTACTAGCTCTTTCTTGCTTAGTAATGTTTTTCTTTTTTTATTAATACGATAAATAGCGTCGTAGATAGATCTTAGAGGCTTCTGAAAGTAGATAGAAATGTTTTTAATAGCTATATTAGCGTTAATAAGCCGATTAACTTCAGCTTCAAATTTAGAAA